GTAGATGAAATACATTTGTCTCAGGAGGTAACAATGCTTATTTATTACTTTAGACAAAGTGGAAAATAAGACACAGGCATACAAAGGAAACCAAAAAATAATCACAGATGTCAGGAATAATCCGTTTTAGTAACCGGACACATCAAGAAGGATGAAGTATGGTATTCAATTAGAGTTGTATTCAATTGATTCTTCAACTCTGCTATTTAGGCCACCAACGCACCTGCAAACATAATGAATGTCTCAAATATTTTGAACGATCCGAAAGTAGTGAAATAGCATCTACAATTCTTACAACTCCTCACAGCTATAATATTTCAAATATCTTAAATGATTCAAGTAATGAATTAGTTGAGAAATCAATAACTCCCACATCTCCTTCTCCTTATTATAAACAACCACGATTTATAACTAATAATGAATACATGGATATGGTTTGGTCTCCATGGCATTTTGATAAAATTATTGGTGAAATAGATATCAAAAAAAAATAATAGGCTTATGTGAGAAAGAAAAGAAAGCAAAAATAAAATCGTCATTAAATTATGGTATTATCGACCTGAATGATAGTAGGATTATAAATGTCTTAGGACCATCTGTAAAGGTTTATTTTAAAGCGGAAATAAAGAAATATAAACCACAAAGATCCATATCAAAAGAAGCTTTGGAAACTTTGAAGTATTTCAACGTAGTAAGTAATTAATCAAAAACCAAAAAATAACTTAATATTATTACTTATAATTAACACATTTAGACATCATTATCGGAGCTTGGAAAAGCTCTTTCAAATATCACCATTAACTATGAAAATCCCAATAGAGATACTGTATATTTGTATCATTTGTTTGAGAAATTGTAAGTATCGAATACAATGTGTTTTTTATATTTTTGTAAACATATTTATTTATCTTGTTTTCAGTTTTTTCTTTTTCAAGACAAGGGTGTATTGAATTTAGATAGTTCTGAATTACAAGAAGGATAGTACAACAGCAACGTTGCGCCATTTTTCGATGATTGCTTAGCTTCACTTAATAATTGTATTCTTCAACGGTATGTTCTAAATAAAACTGTGGTGTTTTATGTTGTATTTAGCTAATTTATTCTTGTATAATAGTGGTGAAGTCAAAAGCAAAGCACAAAAGTTACTTGGAATTAAATCATCAAAAAAGCCAAAATATGATAGAATCTTGTCATTTAATAGAAAAATCGAGTTTATTTATGTGGAAACAGCAACCATATCAATATTGTCAAAAAGAGACAAAGACTTGTCAAAATTGCATGAAGCAATAGCTATAATGTTCAAGCGTATAGTATCCTCATTACTAGAGAAAATTGTACACGAAATATCAGATTTGCCCATCCTCTGCATTCAATTCTGTGGTAAGTAAAGCTATGTCTAATTGTTAATGCAAAATCTTTAAAAACTTAATTTTATAACTTTACAAGTACGACAGCTGATGTATACTTTGCTAATTGGCCGGTTAATATGCGCTCAGTTGTTTTTTCAATTTTTGAATTCGATATTCCAGAACAAGTTACATCTTTACCAAGTCTAACAAAGTTGGCTGTAAGAATGTTGACATTGCGGGTAATTATAATATCTATGCCCAAGCGTTCTTATTTATTCTTATTATAGCTGACCTTTATTCTTTTGTAGTCATTAATTCAAGACCTCCATAAATGGTATCAATCATTATTAAAAAAAATCACAGATTATTATTTAGATAATGATAATATTTGAACTTCCCCACTAAAACTGAAAACTAGATAATTATGTTGAAACATTTTTTCTCTTACTGACGTATTTGGTTTTATAAATTGAAAAAATAAAATTTCTTGCTAATTGCGAGACAAATATACCTTATTCATATGATTTTGATTGTTCCCTGTTTTATTCTAACTTTGAAATAAATAATGTAAATGGAATTAGGAATAGCAAAAGCATTTAAAGTTTC